TTACGAAGTGAATGTGCTTGCGGCTCGTGCAGTTATGAGCACGGGCAATGGGCAGACCGTGCTAAACGACATTTTTTTCGGCCCTGAATGTGTCTCGTCATGGAATGCACAACAAAACGTACCAAGACTACGTCAAAACCAAGATGAACCCTGCCGCGATGAACGCATCCGCGGTTATTGTGAGCGAGTGCGCAACAGCTGTGAAGGCCATCTATTCTGAACTGAATTTCGGGAACCCCGGCAATATCGCAGTTTCCTATGACGGGACTTGGCTCACTCGTGGCCACTTGTCACACATTTGTGTGGGAACTGTAATAGAACTGTTTTCGGGCTATGTGTTGGACTTTAAAGTTCTCTCGAACTTCTGTTTGGGTTGCGAGATTGGCCCCAAGGACGACGACCCTCGATGCAGTGAGTGGCGAGCTCGGCACAAGTGCCAAAAAAACTCTTCGAGCAAGCCTGGCCAGATGGAGGTGAAGGCTGCCAAAATTTTGTTTCGCCGGTCCCTCGAAAAGCATGGATTCCGCTACACAACGATGTTGTGCGATGGCGATAGCCGCACTTTCAACAGCCTTCAGGAGGAGCAAGTTTATGGCTTCGTGGCTATCGAAAAGGAGGATTGCGTAAATCATATACATAAAAGTATGGGTGCTGCACTGAGACACCTCCTGCAGAAGAGCAAGGGGGAAGGTCGGCCAAGCCTAAGTGGCAAAGGAAAGCTCACTGCTGAGCTTGTAACGAAGCTTACAAATTATTATGGTTGGGCACTCAAGGCACACCAGAGAAACATCGATGAGATGGAGAATGCTGTCCTTGCCACTTACTATCATGTGACTTCTACTGATGCAAAGCCACAACATTCACGGTGCCCAAAGGGAGAAGACTCATGGTGTGCCCACAACAAGGCAGTGGCAAGGCAGCAGGCTCCTCCTAAGCATCGGTACAACCTCCCGGAATATGTTGCAGAAGCGCTCCTTCCAGTGTACACTCGCCTCTCAGATCGAAAGCTGTTGGAGCGCTGCCAAAGAGGCAAAACTCAAAACTCGAATGAGAGCCTCCATTCAGTGATCTGGTCGCTTGTACCGAAAACCAAGCACGCCTCGCTCTTCACAGTCAAAACTGCTGTTGCGGAAGCGGTTGCTCGGTTCAATGCTGGAAAGAAACGTGCTTCTGGGGCCATTTTGAAGGAGCTGCATTTGAACCAAGGCAACACAGATGTTGAAAGATGTCTGGAAAAGGACCAGCAGCGGCTAGCGGCATGTGACAAAAAGCATACCAGAGCAGAAGACTTCAAGAATGCCATGAAGAAGAGGCGTGTGAAAGAGAATGATGGTGATTATGAGCCTGGTGGCTTCTAGAGCAAAAAGGGCTCCCATCTGTTGCTTTTTTGGCAAGAATTAAACCTATATATAGTCTTCAAACTTCTTTTTGTGTTTTCTCAAAATTAGTTTTTTGCCTATGTGCTATACTGTTGCCCACAGTATCTTTTGATCTAGTGATCAGATTTCAACGATTCTTGTTGCAATTGACAGCTTACGAGTTCCTATACACAATAAGACAACTAAAATTTATAATTAGTCAAGAGAAAATTTTTTATGCGCTGATAAATCTCATGAAAATTTCCATGTTCCCAACCATTATATTACATATGGCAATAACTTTTATAAAAATAGAGCTAAAATTACAGTGATAGTATAGTTGTGATCCTTGATTATTCTAGACTATGTCCATATAAAGTGTTCAAGGATATTTAATGATTAAATTGCAGAATAATTGGGCAATCCAACTATTCATTATTTATTCAATATCTCTAAAACTACTTGAGATAAAAGAGAACGGATTGCATATATCTTCACAGCAGGTTAAAAGATGCGTTGCCTGAAAATTTCATTTGAATACGATAATAAACAGAAAATTTTTTTAGAACACCAGGGTCTCCCCTTAAGTTCTAATATTTGTTTCTCTTTTTTCCATGCAGGGCATGATCGCGAGTAGGCAGCGTGATCTCCTTCACAGTTAGCACAACAGGCTTCTGAAGTGCACTTTTCGGATACATGTTCACAAGATGCGCACTTCGCACACCTAGCGCGCCCTCTGCACGTTTGGGATCCGTGTCCGAAGCGCTGACACTTGAAACATCGGCGAGGATTCGGTATATAAGGTCTGACAGGAAGCTTGCAATAACCAGTTTCAATAGAGTCGGGAAGGTTGCTTGTATTGAAGCTAACTATGATGTGCTTTGTTGGGATCTGTTTATTATCTCGCCTGATTATTATTCTTTGTACTTTCACTACATTTTGTTCTTGCCAGCCTTCGAGCAATTCACTTTCAGAAAGCTCGAGGAGGTCATCATCAGATATGACACCACGCACTGTGTTCATCGACCTATGTGGGCCCACTGATATTGGGATGTTATCAAATGAAACGAGTTTTGTGAGCTTGTCGTACTGAGTCTTGTCGCGAACTTCTAGAAGGAGATCGCCATTCCCCATCTTAATTACTTTATAGCCAGGGCCAATTGCATCTGTGAGCGTTTTCGAGACAATAAATGGTGAAATAGATTGAACTGTTTTCTTTTCATTTTGGCTGTGGATTACATGGTACTTGGGAAAGGTCTGTTCAGGCTGTGCAGTAAAAAAGCTGTCATCGGTGTGCCACCTTTTCAGGCGGCGATCAGGGAGTGCAGGAAAAGGGTTTTCCATAACAAGCATTTTAAATTCGGCGGCGATGGTGGCCACCCACCACCGAGCCCAACAAGGGGACGCTACAAGGTTGAATAGTGAACACTTGGAGATGCCAGCCATGCATCGCCGCTATAACCGAATATAACTACCCAAGGTTGGGTAACTACACAGGGTTAACCCTCGCCGCCAGAAAATTCGGAAGTAAACGGAAAAGAGAAGATGACAGGACAGATAAAAAGTGGGAGATAAAGACGAAGATGTAGGAAGAGAGAGATAGGAAAAGGCGACTGCCGATTTCCCCTGGGTGGGTCAGCCCAGGGGTGCCGTCTACATGAAGCCGGGGCCAAAGGGGTGTGTTGCCTCTGCCGGGGGGCCTTAAAGGTCCAATCACCCAGCATCTGCTCAACCCCCAGGATCCCCTTTTCCCCGGATACGGCAAAGCCATGCACGGCTAGGCGTGGGAGGGAGTAGAAACTCCCCCGTTAGCTCGGGTCCATGGTGTCGCTACACACCAAACGCCTACTTGCGCAGGCGCCCCTGCGGAGCATTATAGAACCGTGGTAGACATATCTGAAATCTGGTGCGGTTAAGTTGCACATATGTTGCAGGAAACTTGACCGGTGTTCTTCAAAAAGAACAGGTATAAAAAAAAGCAGCCTGTGGCATTGCAATCATGCAATCTAGAGCTTTACTATATAGCTATAACACAATAATCTTATTTTGTCATTAATTCAATATATTTGTCCTGCCACCCCTGTTTTAATTGGTCATGCCAGAAAGTAATAGTGTTACCGAATTCACAGACAAATGGTGCGTACTCATTTGTATTCCCCAAGTGTGGAACGAAGTCTGCATTAAAAATATTAACTATATGCTAAATCTGCCCTTTCTACACAAGCATCACAAATAATTAAGTCGGAGCAACAGCTTTTATCTTCAAGAGTTTAATAGAGGTGAAACTGAAAAGTCACAACATGAGCAGATGAAAGAAATAGCATATCTTGGAGATAGACGAGGGTTATATGCAATTTTTTTCTCTGAGTGCGTTACCCGAGATCGGTGTATCACAAACAAAACATGTACTCACACAAAACAATTATTTCACAAGTTGTCGCAGAATTTATTATTTTTTTCACAAAAACAAAGGTTTTACTTTTTTACCCGGTGATGCTTCACAAACAGCTTCAGCACCTTTCATGTATATCCGATCCCTGAAGCACATTTATTCACACGGACAACTCCCAACAAAGAAGAAGACCTTAGTGTTGATGATACTGGGCATAACATTTAGGTAAGCAGCAGATATCTTGTTTTTCTATTTTCAATTCAATGAATAATTTCTGCACTGCAGGACCCAATCGTTGGTGTAGTTTGCAGTCTGCTCACAGACATGAACCACGTAATGAAATGCTAATGAACGGAACTCGGTAGTAATAAGAAGTCACAGTTCTTGGCCTCCAATATGTAATGCCGTTGACAGGTACAGCGTACATATATTAAAACATATCTGCAACTGTGTCTCTTTTAAAGAAGTGCTAAGTAAATTTGAGTCTGCCCAGTTGTGTGACACTTGGAAATGGTCCAGACAGTCCTCGATGCATTGTCATGCTAACGACTGAGAGCATTGATGCAAGATTGTCAGAACTTGCATTTATACTTAAAAAGAAAGAGAAAGCTAAGAAAAAAAAGTTGAAGTGTGACTTAGAATTGGCAATGCTGCCAGTTTCAAACAATGATCAAGAATGCTCTCCTCATGGCTGACGCTTGTCACCATGCAAACATACTATTAAAAAAAATGGCCCTAATATACAAAATGTACATAAGGCGGGCGTGATGAACAATATCTGCGGCAGCCAGTACCGCTCTTAATTGTGACAAGTACAAGAAAGGAGGAGTTTTGCACATTTAAAGATAGCTTTGACAAGTACGGTGCATATAAGACGTGCACCTCGCCTCGATTATTTTCGTGCCCCCCACATGGTCGTCGTCGTCCGCACCGATTGGCCGGCTCCTATTGGTTAGACGACAACACATGGTGGCAGCACACATTCAGTGGTCCGTAGTGTCTCTTCTCTTCACAGAGGCACAAGTAGTTATAAGTAGAAGGGCACTTGCAGATGACGTAGTGTGCTGCACAGCACCGTAAACACCCTGCTTCCGAAAACTGAATTTTTTTGTGTGTGTGCGTTTTAAGTGTAATTTCTGTCCCTGTGTGTTCGGTCAGTCCATCCTCTCATCGTTCTTATGACTCAAAAGATGATGACGACAAGTGGTGAAGATTTCTCTCGTGTGCTCTAGGAAAAAACAGTCTCCCTATGTATCTTTTTTTTTTTGCAGTTTATAAATAAATGTGAACAAAGCTTTGGGCACAGACACACAGAAACGACAACACGGATCCACATATTCACAGTTACACGTGTGCACTGCTGATGCATCCCGACACATGCAACGTTCTGTAGTCGTAGCTGGCTTGCTGTCAAGCTGCTTTGTGGTATTCCAGATGTGTTCGTTGCAGAGAACAGGCATCGTTCGCTATCAACACACTGAAGTCTGTTAACCTTTGAAAGTGCCCGCCATGTTTAGCAGCTTGTGCGACAGATGTATCTTCGGACAGTGTAAGTCACCTTCAAGTTCCATGAGAACCTGTGCATGGTGAAACAAAAGACAGCGTGCTGAAGGGTCAAAGTATGCGATTTTTGTAAATGAAAATGAAAGAAAACACTGACTCCAGCTTATCCAAATTCAAGAAGGCAAGTGTATTGTAGCACAGTGATCGAAATCTCACATGTTATGCCGTAAATCGGTGATTACCTAATGATTTATCTTTATATTTGTAAACCTTGTCATGGCAGAGTAACTTGCAGTGGTTGAACAAGCATGGTTATCTGTATTGAATATTCAATGTATGTAGATTGTTATTTGCATTGCTGTTTCAGATGCGATTTTGACCCACGCACCTTTATAATTGACTTGGCCTTTCTTAAGTTAAACCTACTTATAATGAATATGGATATAACATATCATCAGTTAGGATTGATTAAGTTATCATTAAGCTTGCCAATAATGGTGCTGTGAGTATATGTGTGTGACAAATTCGTGTACATCATTTGAAATTATTCTTTCACTAGGTGCTACTTCTTAATAACAGGCTTTGATTACATGGAGTGCATGCTGTTTTGCCATGCCAAGTATTGGTTATCTTGTCAATGTTAGATGTCGATTGCTGTTTTTGTTGAAGGCGGAAAAAGCTTCCTCAAGTTTTCGATATTTTTTGCATTCTCCATATTAGATAAAACAAACCCAACTGTCTTTGCAGTCATGTTTGCTCTGATAATACACCCTTCAAACTGTAGCTAGTAATATGGCTTAGCTGCTCTCTATACTTTTCAGCATACACGTGGAGCTCTTTGACAGCACCTGAAGGCCCTAATTCAGAGGAATGTGCCTCAAGAGATCAAAAGAGAGAGATAGGTTTATTTACAGAAAGGCAGAGAGGTCGGCCTGAGCCATAGCTTGCTCTAGCCTGCTACTCTATACTGGGGGAGGGGAAAAGGGAAAAGAAAGAATAATGGATGGCGATGGTAAGATAGAGAGGTGAGTATGTAGTATTCTTTTTAGCTGAGACAAACTTTATAGCCGCGCATATAGTCCAGTTACTTCCAAAAAGGTTATAGCTGCTCTTATGACCACAATAGCACTGTTGGCGTCTGGCCAAGGGCCCAGCACGGTCTCATCGGTTAATGACATACTGCGATATAGTTCAGTAGAAGAAATCAGTGTTTGTCGTTCACGTGCGTACGCTTGGCAGACACAAAATATGTGCTCAAGTGTTTCTGGCACATCACAGTGTTCACAATTAGGACCGGTGTCACTGCAACCGATGATATGTGCATAACGTCTGGTGTACGCCACACCAAGACGAATGCGATGGATCATACTTGTCAGTTGCCGTTTCAATTTAGGGGGCATGCGGAACCTCATTTCCGGGTCCCATTTGTGAAGTCGCTGGTGTCGCCGTTCGGGTTTGGTCCAGTGCTGAAGTGTATAGCTGCGCATCACGCAGCGAAGCAGGGCGTTCGTGTCAGCTCGTGAAAACGCAATGCGTACTTCAGGGGCATAGCTTAAGGCATTTTTAGCTTCAGCGTCTGCCTCTTCGTTTCCCATCACGCCGCAATGCGCGGGAATCCACTGGAAAGTGATAAGATGGCCATTTGTTGAAGCAACCTGAATAAGTTCTGCGATTTCTATTGCCAAGTTGTAATACGGACCTTGCTTCATGATGCAATCAATAATTTGCAAAGCGGATTTGGCATCACAGAGATCAAGAAAAAAAGGAAAAGATTATGAGACATTGCTAAAGTAAAGATATGCACCTTAAATTCAATTGAATTAAGCACAGCGATGTTGCACTTTTTTATTAGAAACAGAGCATTAACAAGCCCATCCATCCCCCCACTTTATTGCAGTATAGCTATCACAGCTTCTTCTAATCCTCTCTAGTGCATTGTCGGTCCCTGCCCAATAACGCAATGTGGCTGTAGCAATCCGTGGTTGGACAGTGCTGAACAATTTTTTTCATGGTTGATTCATAAAAGCATTTTTTCACTTCTTTGCGCACCATCTGTGAAGTCAACTTCTTTTACTAGGTTTTGAGCCTTTAGTTCCTGACAAAAATTAACTGATGGGAGAAAAAGTTTTGAACCACGAATGGTTAAAATACTTGAGAAATTCAACCCTGATCAGGCTTGGTCATCACTGAAAGTGTCACATATAGAGCAAGATTAGTGAACTAATCCTTATCTATTAGCAGGATTAGCAGACGAACACATATCACGCAGTGCAAAGCAACAGAGCAGTATGGTTTTTGAAAGATTGCCTATGTTCGCTCATATTGACAATAAGTTCATATATGGTCATCACTGCTATGGTCATCACCTAGAGGGCCTTCATCATCATCATCATCATCATCATCATCATCAGCCTGACTACATCCACTGCAGGACAAAGGCCTCTCCCATGTTCCGCCAGTTAACCCAGTCCTGTGCTTGCTGCTGCCAATTTATACCCGCAAACTTCTTAATCTCATCTGCCCACCTAACCTTCTGTCTCGCCCTAACCCGCTTTCCTTCTCTGGGAATCCAGTAAGTTACCCTTAACGACCAGCGGTTATCCTGTCTACGCGCTACATGCCCGGCCCATGTCCATTTCCTCTTCTTGATTTCAACTATTATATCCTTAACCCCCGTTTGTCCCCTGATCCACTCTGCTCTCTTCTTGTCTCTCAAGGTTACACCTACCATTTTTCTTTCCATTGCCCGCTGCGTCGTCCTCAATTTAAGCTGAACCCTCTTTGTAAGTATCCATGTTTCTGCTCCGTAGCTAAGTACCGGCAGGATACAGCTGATATATACCTTCCTCTTGAGTGATAGTGGCAATCTATCTGTCATAATTTGAGAGTGCTTGCCAAATGTGCTCCACCCCATTCTTATTCTTCTAGTGACTTCAATCTCGTGGTTCGGCTCCGCGGTTATTACCTGCCCTCAGTAGACAGTCTTTTACAACTTCAAGTGGACTATTACCTATCTCAAAGCACTGCTCTCTTTTGAGGTTGTTGTACATTACTTTCGTTTTCTGCAGATTAATTTTACGACCCACGTTTCTGCTCTCCTTGTCTAACTCCATAATCACGAGTTGCAATTCATCCTCTGAGTCACTCAGCAATGCATTGTCATCGGCGAAGTGCAGGTCCTCCACACAATCTGTCCAACAAAATCTGTCCTCCATCTTTCAGCAGATCTGATGTTACCTTATCCTCACCAGCAGCTTTGCCTCTTTGCATGCTCTCCAAGGCTTTTCTGACTTCTTCTATCATTACTGGTAGGGTGTCATCTGGGTTACTGCTTGTTCTTATAATATTAAGGTCGTGATTGTCCCGGCTACTGTACAAATCACTGTAAAACTCCCCCGCTATTTTAACTATCCTATCCATATTGGTAGTTATTTTGCCTTCTTTGTCCCTTAGTGCATACATCCGATTTTTCCCTATCCCAAGTTTCCTCTTCACTGCTTTGACGCTTCCTCCGTTTTTCAGAAGGTGTTCGATTCTCTCGATGTTATACCTTCTTACAACAAATACCTTACACTTATTAATCAACTTCGAAAGCTCTGACAGTTCTATTTTGTCTGTTGTACTTGAGACTTTCATGCTTTGATGCTTCTTAATGAGATTCTTCGTTTCCTGGGAAAGCTTGCCAGTGTCCTGTCTAACTACCCTGCCTCCAACTTCCACTGCACACTCCGTAATGACACTCGTCAAATTATCATTCATTGTATCTACGCTAAGGTTGGTTTCCTAACTAAGAACCGAGTACCTGTTCTGAAGTGAGACTCTGAATTCTTGTACTTTCCCTCTCAGTGCTAGCTCATTGATTGGCTTCTTGCGTATCAGTTTCTGTCATTCCTTCTTCAAGTCTAGGCGAATTCGAGACCGTACCATTCTATGGTCACTGCATCGTACCTTGCCAACCACTTCCACATCCTGCATGATGCCTGGGTGTACACTCATTATAAAGTCTATTTCGTTCTTATTTTCACCATTAGGGCTCCTCCATGTCGACTTGCGGGTTCCTCGTTTTCAGTAGAAGGTATTCAAAATCCGTAAATTATTGCGTTCTGCAAATTCTACTAGTAGCTCTTCTCTGGCATTTCTAGTACCGATGCCATAATTTCCTACTGCCTGGTCTCCAGCCTGCTTTTTCCCTACCTTTGCATTGTAACGGGGTTTATTTGCAGCGCAGAACGCAGAAAGCGAAGCAGTCAGCAGTGTCCTGCCAAGCGCAGCAAGCACGAGCTTATGCTGATGGCGATGGCCCTGATGCGCCGAGAAATGCCGCTGAAGCTCCTCTTCTTCACTACTATCGCCCTCCGCACAAAAAGACGCCATCCTGGCGGATTAGGGAGAAGAAACGACTAATGGGTCGTAATATGGCTTGAGACGAGAGACGTGGACAGTGTCGCGGCCGCGGTAGCGTAGGTCTGTGGGTGGGATGATGGGCTCCACGATATAGTTGACGAGTGACGTTTGCTCTACAACGCGGTATGGCCCGATGTATTTGGGAAGAAGTTTTGCGGAGCGGCCAGGCGCGGTAGCAGGTGCCCGAAGCCATACTAATGAACCAGGTGGAAAGTTTGGAGCCGAACGGTCCCCAGTCTGGCGGGATTGCTGCTGCCACTGGTCCTCGGTAAAAAAAGAGCGGGCAAGCTGGCGGCATTCTTCAGCATGTTGGGCAGCTGCGGACAGAGTTGTACTTTCGGACTCATAAGGTTTATATGGAAGAATAGTGTCTACTGTATTTGAAGGTTCTCGTCCGTACAAAAGAAAGTATGGCGAAAACCCAGTAGTAGCTTGTACGGCAGTATTATACGCGTAGGTGACGAACGGGAGAACTTGGTCCCAATTTGAATGAACAGAGGCGACGTACATCGACAGCATACTGCCAAGAGTACGGTTGAAGCGCTCCGTCATGCCATTTGTTTGAGGGTGGTACGCTGTACTTGTGCGGTGCACGATTCGGCATTCGTTGAGTAATGCCTTCAAGGCGTCAGAAAGGAAGGCACGGCCTCTGTCACTTAAGAGCTCGCGA